AAATTTTCTTGGTTGTGTCAGAAGCACTTATTTTCGTTAATGTTTAGATTGTTTAGATTATTTCGATTTTTTTTTTTACAAGAATTTTGAAAATGCATAAACTTTTGCTTAATAATTTTTTTTTTTGAAGAAAAACTAACGATGTTTTTGATTTTGCGCTGGTGGCGTGATCTAGTTTACCCAATTCAGCAATTGAAGCGTTTGTCTAAATTAGTATTGTTATGATGATGATAGCAGAGAAGTATAAATAAACAAGTAAATCTGTAAAAAAAATGTTTCTTTAAAACGCTTCGAGTTTAAAATCCTTGAGCCTTCAAGACGTTTGCACCCTGCCATATACCCAAACCCGTTGAGAGCGAAAGTTGTCCTTTCAGTAATTGGTGTTAACTACCTGACTAGACGAGTAGGTGTTATAAACGCTTTTCGTATGCAATATTAATGTCATTAGTGACATTATGTTTGTTTGCTAGTTATATATAGAATTTTATTGTAACCCGGGGGTTTTTTTTTCTTATATAAGAATTCGTGACCATAATTGCGTTGATTTTTAGAATTATAATTGCGTTGATCTTTAGGATTTACTTGACGTTGATCTTTAGAATCATAATTGCGTTGATCTTTAAAAGTCTTTCTTTTTCAAGTCAACGTGATAATCGTGTTCCCCCAAGTCTGAACGTTCTCCTGAATCTGAACGTTCTCCTGAGTCTGAACGTTCTCCCGAGTCTGAACGTTCTCCCACTGTATATTTTTCTGAGTACTTCACAGTATGTTCCTCCGAATGCTCCACCGCTGTAAGTATTTTGATTTGGGCAAAAATATAAGAATTTTTAACAAAATTTATTTTTATCTTAATTATAGTGTAAAGTCTTTTGAAAGAAACAATGACCTTTTAATGTCTGAAAGGGCATACAGAGAAATTTTCTTAATGCCAATGATCACAAGCCTATTCCAGTATAACTGCTTTAACCATTAGAACTTGAAAGTTCACATTTAATTTTAGGATTACTTGAAGGTAAACCCTAGGTTTTTAAGAATTGGCCGTATATTCTTCTAAATGCTCTAATCGGGTGAACAAATTTTTCTCTTTCTTTTTATAGTTACGATGAAGAAAATCGTATGATCAATTTATTCAGTAGCCATAACAAACGATTATTACTAGTTCACTGCGACGACGACCCCCACGTATCTGAAAAAATAACAATTGGTAGAATCAAAAAATTTTCAAAGAATTCGGCCAAGAACAGCTTTATATTATTAATAGTTAAAGTTGTAATATATGTATTTATTAATTTATATATTAATTTTAAGATTTTAATAATAAAATTTTAATAATAAAATTTTTAGTACGTATAATTAAGATACAGTATTTACTTAAAAAATATTTATTAATTAAATAATATAATAAAGTTTAAAAAAAACTATTTAATACGGTGTAAAATAAGTTTAATAAAAAGTCTTAAATTAATAAAGTGTTTGCGAAATCAGTTGTTTAATGAATATATTTTAACATTTTAATTGACCTTGTTCAAATTTTTAAAATAATCAAGGGAAATAACAAATAAATAACTAACGAAAAAAAAAAAAGAAATATAAAAAATATCCCTATATAACGACAAAAATCTTTAACCTGTGCAAAATTAATAGATTAATTTATAGATATCACCCGTTATCAATAGCGAAATTATGCAAGTGACTCATATAAGTAAATTCCGGTCAAATTTTGTTGGCTAGTCGGCAATAATACAAAACTTTCTAAGTTGTATAAATCAATAGATATTATGCCAATAAGAAGTGCTGAATGATGGCATAGACTACAACTTCTTATATATAATAAATTTCAAAATATAGTAAAACTTTATTATGATAGTATGTACATTTTAAATTTCTTACTTTTAAACAAAATAACTTCTTTGATGAGCAAGTTTGTATAATATGAAAGATAATAAAGAGTATTATTGAGTATAACGATACCAACTAACATCAAAAATCGATTTTGTTATAATCTTGCATTCTAACCAAAATCTTTATTTTTAATACCACTGTATTAGACAACTATCATAAACTTTATGATTGTTTTATTTTGTATGGTTCATAACCGTTATAAACTCTGATTGCATCTGCTGCGCCGTCCCAAGATTGTCGCCCCAATAAACGATACTGACAAAAAGAAAAAAAAAAAATTATAATTTAAATGCATTTTAATTTAAAAAAAATAATAATTTTAAATAAAAAATTAATAAAAAATTACTTGAATAGAATTGGGAATTCCAAATAAAACTTTCAGATATAAAGAGAATCCATATTTTCTTATGATTTGCATTGGATACGGGTAACAACCTAAATCCTTTGCTATAAGAGATTATCAACGTTAGCCTGTTATCATATTTTTTTTTTAAAAAAAGGCATTTTATCAATTACCTAAACTATCTAATTCTGGGAAAAAATAGCCTTCAATTGTATGCCTTGGTGATTTATAAAAGATTTTTTGTAAAACCTTTTGATGTTCTCGAATCTCTTTGTGCATTTCGGAAATTGGTGGATTTGGTGGTACGTAACCTTTGACTAAACTTATAACATAACGTGCTTGCATTTCGCTCAAAGGAAATATCGCTCCTATTAATTGAACCAAGCCAATAAAAGCAATGTTGGGATATTTTGGTGGAAACATTCTCTTATATAACCAAACTAAATTCTCTCTATATTCTTCATCAAAATCTTCCAAAACATCTTTATCACAAACAATATCCCTATCTAAAAATGGGAATTCAATTTGATATCCGGTAGCATAAATCACTGCATCAATGTTTTCAACTTTAGTTCCATCCACGAATTCAATAGATCCATCTTCATTCAACTGGGAGATATTTGGTTTAACAATAAGAGTCCCAGTTGAAAGACGTTCATAAAAATTGGTCTTCATGGTTGGATGATGACTAGAAGGTGCTGTTTTAGGTTCGAAGCCTGGAGGCGGTGGTCCAATTGCAGATTTCGTTGTACTTTTGAATAGAAGGTTTTGGATAAATTGAGGTATCCAACCAGTAAAGAAACGACTAGTGAAGTGATCAACGGGTTTTCCATATACAAGTCTTGGCACAATCCATGGAAGTGTTCCTTAAATTATATGATAAACTATTAAACTATAAATTTTAAATACAATTGATAATGTTATATGATACTCTTGATATTCATACCTCGACGAACACAAATATAAGCTTGTTCTATATTTTCTGATAACTCCACGGAAATATCCATACCACTAAAAAAAAAATATAATTTTTTTATAAATTTTTTATAAGCTTTTATAACAATAGCCACTCGAAAATATCTCACCTATTTCCACATCCAACAATTACCACACGTTTATTCTTAAAATCAGTAGGTTCTCGATAAAAATGTGAATGAATTTGAATTCCTTTAAATTTATCCATTCCTTTATACTTTGGTAACCGAGGATACCTATGATGACCTGTGCAAACCATTACGTAATCAAACACACTTTCAATTTCATCTTCACCTTTAGTAACATATCGAACTTTCCAACGTTGATCTGGAAGAATTGATGCATTTAAAACTGTAGTATTGAATTTTATATGAGGAATAAGTTGAAATCTTTCCGCATACAAATCGAAATACCTAAAAAAAATATATAAAGAATATTTAACAAAGAATGATAAGATTTTATTAAGTATATAATTGATAATTTACTTTGCTACAAGTTTATTATGCATAAAATAAGGCCAATCATGAGGAATTGGAAAATCCGAAAATGTCGACTATGATCGACAAAAAAAAGGGTCAAATTGAATCTTTTACATGAATTTTTTGCAAAAAATATATAAAATATCTTCACCTACCATTTCTTTACTAGTATTTATGATCACACTCTTATAAATTGAAGAATGTGGATCCTTATTTTCTTCATTGACTTCAGTATACCGCCAAAGTCCCGCAGTAGAAGAGAATGCTTCAAAACACACCGGTTCAAGATCATCAGCGAGACATTGCTTAATACATGTAAGTCCAGATGCTCCTTATTAAGATAAATAATGAAGAGAATATTCATGAGAAGAATATTCATGAGATAGAAAAAAAAAAAAATTAGTTATCTACCTGCACCGATGATTGCAATACGAGGCTTTGACATTTTTTTTTTCAGGAAGAATAAAGATTCGCGGTATAAGTAGTGTCAGTAAAATTAGATAATTATTTAAAGAAATCTTTGCATATCGATATGTGATCACAAATAATCTAAAAAAAAATGGCGATCGATTTTATTACTTCAATATCAGATATATAAAAACAATTAAAAAAATTACAGTATATTGTTTAAAGTAGGATTACCCGACAATTCGAGAACCGATATTATCCTATCAGATTGAGCAGTTCTGCAGTGGGGATCCGAGTTTAAATCAGTTTGCAGATAATGAGATATCGATCGATATAATAGGTATTTATTTTTGAACCCGGACCAATTTTATATTTATGACATAATAGTACTTTGGTCTGGATTAGTGATGCAGTAGAATCGTGTCGTAACTTGCCGTAACCTGCTGTGATTGTAGAATCGTGTCGTAACTTGCCGTAACCTGCTATAACTATATATATAAGTAATATAATAAGTTAGCCGTAACTTACCATATTACTTACTATAGTTTAAAGTTACGGCAAGTTACTACTGCATCACTAGTCTAGATTCAAAAATAATTAACCATTATACAGTAATAAAAGATAAGTCAAATGTTCATATAATAAACGTTAATAAAAAATATTCATTTAAATAACTGCAAGCGTTGTTTAAAGTTTATTTTCGTGGTTCTAGAGAACATTTAAATTATATGCAGCATAACGTTGACATTTTATTATGAATATATACCATACGGTATATATTTTGTAATTTAAACACTTACTGCAGCAACGAAGCCTATTCATATAAAGTACTGCATTGCCTCTGTAGTTGATCCATAAATATGTGCTATTCTTTACAGAAACCTTCGATTTTTGCCATTTATGATTATCATATGATAGTTATATAACTATTATATGATAAAAATGATAAAAATATTTTTAATCTGTTAAGTTACTATTAACAATATTTTTATCATATTGTTAAGTGTTAAGATATTAGT